AGCCTAAATCTAGAATATCTGGGATGGAATGATTTTGTGCTGAAGACAATATATCCTGGAGTTTGATCCCTTCCTGTATAAAGACCTGCAAGAGGCTGTGGGAGTAGAGTTGGAAATGTTATGTACTTTCCTGGGTTAGGATTATCTTTTCTAGAGGCAGACAGGTTTCTAAAAGTCAACTTTTTTTACCAAGGATTCCTGTAAGGTTTCTAGAATATCTGGGATGGAATGATTTTGTGCTGAAGACAATATATCCTGGAGTTTGATCCCTTCCTGTATAAAGACCTGCAAGAGGCTGTGGGAGTAGAGTTGGAAATGTTATGTACTTTCCTGGGTTAGGATTATCTTTTCTAGAGGCAGACAGGTTTCTAAAAGTCAACTTTTTTTACCAAGGATTCCTGTAAGGTTCATCCTTTTTACAAATGCTATTTAATTAGTCTCTGCCATCAGAAAATTGCTGTAAAGGAGGAATACTCCAACAGATGCTCCCTGTTTCTGTAAAGGGAGGTGGACAATACCAGATGTTTGGGGCATGTTTAAGCTAAGGCCTCATGTAACTGGCTCTGAAGCACATAGATATCTTTCTTTGTACCTGTTTGTTACACAGGCAGGAGCTGCCTGAGTAAGTAGTTACCAAATGGTGCTTTGAAAGCCTGGGGTGGTGTGAAAGGGCTGAAATTGAGAGGAAAAGCATACTAAAATAAACTTTTGATCTTTTATCAAGTGGGTATTTACAGTCAGAAGCCCTGGATCAGGGTCTGGCCCCTGATGCTTCAACCTGGTGAGGCAGAAGAATCACTATTGTGGTTTCACCAGAAGGCAAAAGCACCATTCACCTCAGTGGTTTGCACAAGGCCAGTGGAGACTGATAGCCTCAAGGCCCCTTTCCCTCACCTTCAGACTAAACAGACTCATGATTTGAAGGCAGTATTTAAAATTACTGAAACAAAACTGCTTTTGTGTAATACAAACAACATCCCATCATTCCAGTTGCCAAGAAAAAAAATCACACAAATAGAGATTCATCTCAGGCACATTAATGGCCTTGGAACTGCATCAGATCTCTGACAGACAGCTTGTACTTGTTACATCAGCTGGGATGTCAAAGATGCATGAAGTGCTAAGACAATTCCTAGGTCCCACCCTGGAGCTAGCTGGTACTCACCTATAAATAATGCCTTTGCTGTGAAGAAACTGGAGCCCACACAGAATTTCAGCTCCATAAAACCTGAAAAGATCAAAACATCTTTTAATCTTTGCTCAGTTACAACATAGTCAACACAGGTGGCCAAAAGAGCTGCTGTGGCATCTCTTCATGGGAGTGAGAAGTACTGAACATGTCTTTAAATCCCAATATACCTGTATTTCTGCAGCTGGATGCTGTAAACTGCAAGTTAATCCCTTTGCCACACATCGGCAGTGTCCAATCTGAAACAGCAGAGGGGACACGGTGGCAACTTGCCATAAAGGCTTCATTCCACTTCCCTCAGAGAACACTGCCCCTTTTCTCCTCTTTAATAATAGTCTTTGTATGTTTTTACTGATATGCACATGCCTTTTGAAAGACATCTACTGGGAGCTCTGTCCTCTGGGAGTGGCTGGGATAGGAATGGGCCTCACCTGTCTAGGAATACCTCTTCAATCATCAGCCACCTGCAACTGCCCAGTGACAACATACAGGCTGAAAAGTGGCATCACTTCAGAGTCATTCTCCTCAAAAACAGAGGTGATAATCCAGAGGATGTGAAGGAAAATGCCAAAAAATGCTTCCCTCTGCCCCCAGAAGGATTAAAATCTTTTTTTTTCAATTGAACAAATATGAAACTATTTCTACTTTTGTACAGCAGATGACCCAAAACTTCAGAACCTGGCACAGAGGATGCCAGGAGAGACTGCCAGATGCACAGATGTTTGCTGGAATGCAGGTAAGCTGGTGGAGCTTTGTCCAGACTTTTGCTGGGAAGAGTGGGAAGGAGCTTGCCCTGACCTATACACCTGGCTGCTATTTATGCCAGATTACTTGATCTGATCCCATCCAGTCAGCACTCCTCAGTACACAGTGCCCAGGAACATTTTCCTGGTGCTTACAGGTAGGTCCTGCACTGTTACCTTTTAGGTCTTGCATGCACACATTTAATATTGCAATTAAAACCCTCCTGCTTTTGGGTGAGAGAGAGGAAGGAACTGATCTGAAACTAAAAATAATAGGTAAAGTAACAAAAATATAAACCTTTTGTGTCTTTTAAAGATCTGAAATGTCTTTTAAAGAGCTGAAATGTTAGCTACAGGTAACTGAAACAACTGCATTTACTAAAAAAAATACTTATCTGTTTTATTAGTATCATGTGGAATGTACAGGTTTTCCTATACTATCATGTCAACTTGGCAATAGTAGTAAATAAGCATTGAATTTTTTTCCCCTGTACTGTTTTTGATTTTTTTCCATCCAAACACTGTCCTAAAGGACACTGATGCTGTAACTTAAGTCTATTCATTGCTGGCTCATGCTGCAGTTAACTTTGCACCTCTAGGTACGAGCATCCCATAAAGTAAAACATCACATTGCTACATAAATTACGAAAGCCTGACTCCACACAGCATTAAGTGGACTTCATTGTATTAAACCAGTGCCTAGGAATACCTCTTCAATCATCAGCC